GCCACCAGGGAGGGCCACGAAGGGTGCTTTTTAAGAACTGACAGTAATTATGTTACTGAAAATAGTTTATCCTCATGAAAATGCTGCAATGGCAGTGTTGCTTCTTTCCATTGCACAGGTAGGTAGCTGCAGCTGAGGGAGGTCACGCTACTTGCTTGCCAACGCTCAGTTTACTAGATGGCACATGGGTACTTGAACCCTGGTACCTGTCACCCAATCCTGTTACTCCCCATCAGTTATCCACTTTGATGTCCCATATTTTGTGGATAACTACGTGAAGTCTCCTCGGGGCTATCAACAGAAACGGGCAGATCTCACTAACTTCTTTGAACTTCATTTTCCCATTTGTAACTGGAGGCAGTGGCTGTGCAAGGAACCCTGTAGGTGCACAGAGGGTGAAGACAGGGTAGGGGGCTGGTAGAGGGTCAGGCAGGGAAGACCTCAGGCTTCCACACCCCCTGCTGTGACCTGAGTTCTTTGCTGGTTTCCTTTTTATTCATTGTGATGCCAATAAGGGTCTGATGGAAGGAAGAATGCTGCTGTTTTTAACAAGTTTGTCAACTACAGATATAGATGTGTTCAAGACGGGCCTGTCTGACCTCAGGAAGGTGCTGTCTGGCTAGGGTCTGGAATCTGGACAGTCCACTCCCCAGCAGTTCACTTCCATCCACTCTTCAGTGAGCTCCTTTGGGCTACCCTGCACTCCTCACCCCTGCTCAGTGGGTCTTCCCTCTTTCCCGGGGCTGTGTTCTTTGTTCCCTGAATGGCCCTGGGCACAGCGCCTAGCACAGAATAAGCAATCAATAAACATTTGTGAGTAAGTGATGTTATTGAATTAGTCTCCCTCACTTAAATCAGATTTGTAAAAATTGAATTGTAGAAGGAATGGTAGAAAGCAGCCTCTGCTTCTCTCCAGATTTTTTCCTACTTTTTTTTTTTATGGCATTTTTCTTTTGATTCCAAACATATGGTTCTCTAAGAGGAAGTGAACTAGCTTCCATGTTCCCTGAGGATTACCTTTGGGTTACCCCTGTTTGATTTGCCTTCTAAAGACATGATGAATGTTTGTCCGTACAGCATGGCGGACATCCCAGGTGGATGCCCTTCCTGCTGAGAGGACGTCAGGAAGGCACGGCAACAAGAGCCAATTTCCAGAACTGAAAATCTGTGGAAAGAGGCTAGAACAATTTTAGGGCAGTGGAGTAACTTGTATTTATTTTTCTTTCCAGTCAGAGCTCCTAAAGTTTTACCTAGCGAGCAATGGAAAGCCATCCAATTTGCTGGACAGAGGGCATCACCTCCTGTAAAAATCCACTCCCAAAAAACCAGTAGGGAAGGAAGCCCCCTCTAAATCCTTCAGCACATTCATCTGTGCAGTCATGGCGGGTTTTCTTTATAAAGTTTACCCAGCGTTTATGAATTTTTGTGTGATTTGTAGTACTATTTCTACTCATTTCCCCATAGTTCTTATTTTAAATACCATAGACAATAGTAGAAATAACTAACTTCCTGCAGTTTCCCTCTTCCACTTAGGTGAGGAGTACAGGACAGTGAGGGAAAGGCCTTACGTTTTGTTTTCACTCAGGCCTGGGTCGGTGTTTTCTCTGGCCGTGAACCTTTGGTCTCTTACTTTCTTCTATAAAATCAGAGTAACAGAGCACATCTCAGAGAGTAGTGACTCTTTGGAAGGCTGTGTACAAAGTGGCAGGCACATGCCTGGTACATTGAAATGACTTAGCATGTTTGCTTGTTATTGCTGCGATTTAGTGTAGTTCTTAATGTGCTGATGGATTTAGAGGGAACATCCTTCCCTATGGCATTTCTTGGAGTGGATTTTTACAACAGTCAAAATAACCGCCTTACAGAAGTTAGAGCTCACAATATTTTTTTCTGCTTCACTCCCTTTGTGCATCTTTCCTGCTGGGCCTGCAGTTAATGTTTTCCCGGGGAAACAATGTGGAAAAAAAGGTCAGCTTATGTCCTGTGTTTGTTCCTGCATGAGCTTTGCTTAATGCTCCTTTGAAGGAACACTGTCCAATTAGAACGAGGCTTGTGTCTCCCTCAATAGCACCCTGTTTTATAATGCTCTGTTGTGACTAATCTGTGTAGAGCTTTATTAAAAAGTCAGAACTGTCTTTCTAATTGTTTTCTTTTTAGGGGCCCTTTCCCCTCCCCCCCACCATTAACATATGATGTTGTCAGCTGCTTATATAGTTAAGCAGAAGGAAGAAGGAGCTGGGAAGCCAGAAGTAGGGAAGAGGGATCAGTTGGAGGAGTGGGGGCAGGGGTTGAAGCAGAAAGAAAAGTCAATAGGAAACCTATTGTGTTTTCCTAATTAGCGAGGAGTCCTGTGACCTGTACTGTAGCCAGAACTAAATCCCAGGCAAGGCCAAAAGAAGTAGTAAAAAAGAATAAAAGAAGTTGGAGAAAGTCACCCATGATTCAGTTTTTCAGATGTGTGTGAAAGTCAGTGGGTTATATAGAAGAATGAATTACATAACTTTTTCACTTCCCATCTATGTGAAGTACATGTGGGCATTTCAATGGGTGGCAGAAAGAAGGGGCTTCAACATTCAAGAATGTTTCTATACTTTCTTTAGTATAAATTTGAAATAGAGTTGGGCCTGATAGAAGACATTCTGGATACGCAGAAGGGAATTAAGGAGGTCTAGAAAGTGTTAACTGTAGAGCAGTGTGATATATACCGGTGGCTGAAGGCTGTCCTCTGCCCATACTGGTCTGAGTGAGATACCTGAGACCTTTGTCATCCAGGACCATCGGAACCATCCGTATAGAAGACGTGTGCATATTTAGTAGTAACCTTAATTTTACTCCTACATATCTTTAGCTAAGGATTTTCTGTTCTAGAAGTTTTTGGTTGCATACATTATACCTTGGTGTTTGACTCTGACTTGCCATTTTTTTCCCCAGATCTCGCAGTTCATGTGGGTGATTCAACTCAGATGAGCTGTGTTTTCCAGAGCATAGCAAAGAAATACGTGACCAAGATAGAATGGATGTTCTCATCAGAAGAGAGTGCCATGGTAATGGGGGGAACCAGCACTGTAGCAGAAGCTTCTGGCTAGTGGTGTCAGAAGAGCGTAGGGGGAGGGGGGAGGTCAGGGGAAGGCGGGGAGAGGGGCCTCTGGGCATCAGATGTCATGTGGTTGGTTTGGGCTTTGGAGCTTGTCAGATCTGGGCTGTCTCCTAGTTTGACCACTTGACTGAACCACTTCAAGTCCCTGGTGGAAAAATAACTGATGATAATAAGATGATAATAAAAATAAGATGATAATAGAGGTGAAGAGGAGGAGAGTAAGACAGAGCGGAAAGGGATAAGAGGAAAAAATGCTTATCTTTTCGGGTTGTTCAAGAATCCATGAAATAGTTGGAGTAAAGCATTTGTACATGATGCAGGCTCTGCATTTTAGTTTCCTCTTCTCTCTTCTCTTTGTAGACTCCATGAGAGGACAGAGATGACTCAGGCCTGGCTGGGGAAGCTCTGGATTAGGCATAAGCATGATTATATTATTCTTCTTATTTGGGCTACTTTTATGAGTCCTCTCCTGTGCCACATCACCCCGTTATGTGACAGGAGAATTTTCTGTTTCAGGCATGCTTCAGGCGTTGGGATTAGTAGATTCTGGGGGCAGGCTGAGGATTGTTCATGGGAACACTGGTTGTAGAGAGCACAGTAAGTCATTGACTGGGGCTCCATTATCACATGATAATGTGCTCAGGATCAAGGTGTGTTGTGGGGGACATTGCTCGGTAACTTAACAAGTTGATAAGGGTTATGGAGCCAAGTTTATAAAAAATTTAACATTTGAAAATTAAGACACACTCTGGGTCACACCTAAAAAAAAACAAAACTCATTTGTACTGACTTGTATGCTGTGCAGTAAATCAGAAAAGTGGCACCTTGAGTGTGGGTTTCAGGTTCACCTCTGGGAGACTGTCGTGTATTTAAATGTCACCCACCAAGTGAGTTATGGCAAAAAATAGGGTGAGAGTTGACATTTTGAGTTGTGAACTTGAATCAAAGAGATAAAAGGTTAGGGGCCAGGTCTTTTCATATCTATTTATGTCTATATACCCATTTCCTGTACTAAAGAGATTTTTTTAAAAAAGCAATAACAATTACATATCTTCATTAAAATTTCCAAAACTGTTCATTTACAAGTATTTTGTAAGCATTTGCTCTGTAGTGAACATTCAAACCCCTGCTCTGATGCAGGACTTAGAAAGGAAGATGGAGGCGGGTACTCAATAAAATAAGTAGATAATGTGTCATTTCATGCAAGAACTATGGAAACAAACAAAAAAAGCAGGGTGTTGTGGTTGTTAATTTATGTAGTTGGTCAAAGGTGACATTTGAGCAAATGTTTGAAGGAAGTGAGGGGGTGAACCGTATGTTTGTCTAGGGGCATGACTGTTCCAGGCATAGGGAACAGCAGGTGCAAAGGTCCTGAGGCCTTCACTCAAAGCGCAGTTAGGTGGGCAGTGTGGCTGGAGTGAATGACCCAAGTAGGTGAGAGCAGAGCAAGGAGAAGGAGAAATCAGAGAGGAAATTGTGGGGCAGATCACAGAGAGCTTTGTACTTTGAGTAGAACTGGGGGGCCGTGGGAGGGTTCTGAGCAGAGGAGTCGTATGATTTAACATATTTCTAAAGGCTTATCTGCTGAGAGTAGACTGGGTTGGGGATCAGCGGAGGCACAAGTAAGGAAACTGCTGTAGGTGGAAGGTGGTGGCTTGGGCCGGACGCTAACAGTGGAGGGCTGAGAAGGTTTGGAGTGTATTTCATCTTCTGTGTTTCTAGACTGGGGATATATAGAGTTAGATGTGAGTTGTTTAAGAAAGAGAAGAATTAGGATGACTCTGTGATTTTTTAGCCTAGCAGATCTTGCCGTTTACCCACATGAGATGGGCTTGAAGGAACCAGTTTGGGGGAAAGATGTGAAGTTCAGGGCTAGACAGGCTTCAGGTGTCTATCGAAGTTCAGACAGAAATGTCACAAAAAGAGAAGGTATATCTTTATTTCTTCTTACTGAGGAAGTGCAAAAAAGTGAAAAATTCCTCTTTCCCACCCCCTTACCTCTCTCTTGAGAAGGTGTCACTCCTGGCTCGGTGGTGCCCTTCGCCACTAGTGTGCTTGCACATGTGTGTGTGTGTGTGTGTGCATGTGCCCACAGCTTCCTGCCCTCTGAGGCTTCGTGGTAGTACCTCTACTTTCCTCCACCTGCAGGGTCTTGTGTGTCCTGAGCCTCCCCCATCTCCGCATACTCCCTTCTCCCTGAATCCTTGCAGTCTCACACATTTTGCCTTTCCCTTCTAGGTGGAGAATGTGTTGCATTACAACCTCAAGCCTACTGCACCTGTGGGGGACCCTCAGAACTGGGGCCGCTTCAAGAACCGCATAAGCCTGGTGGAGAACACTTCCCACAATGATGTCTCCATCATGCTCCAAGAGGTGAAGGAATCGGACCGAGGAAACTACACCTGCACTATCTACATGGGGAAGCTGCAGTTCCGGAAAACCACCATGCTGCATGTGGTCCTGAGAGAGTCGCAAAGTACATACTCTCGCCGGGGGAGGGGGGCGTCTTCCAGCCTAGGGTGAGGCCAGACTGGCTTTCAGGATGCAGCACTGAGGAAGGCGCCCCTGTCTGGCGCTCAGCTTGCTTGCATGGCCCTGAGAGTGACACTGTTTGAGATTCGCTGTCCCGGGCTCCTTGCTGGCTCCCCTAGCTCTGCCCTGCTGGTTGGTCAAGGAAGATGGAGCTCATATTTAGCGAACACCAGACCTCTGCCAGACCCCACTCATCGCCAGTGTGGTCTACTGACCTAAGGGGGCTGGGAAATGGCTCGGAGCTGATGTCCAAAGTCATTTTTACCGACTTTCAGGGGGATGCTGTCTGCTCTGCAGTGGAAGGGAAACTGATCCTGAGCAAACAACAGAGAGAAAGCAGAGAGTGATCCAAACTGATGACAAAAGGGCCTGTGTTCCGGCAAACACTTTGTAGTAAGGCCAGTGGTGTATAAGGAAAGACTCAATTGTGTGGACTGAGAGGTTAAGAGGGTTAAAGTTAAACCATAAATAACCCAGTTAGATGTGAGGATGTGGCCTGTGGACTTTGCCTTTCTGAGCCCTCAGGCTTGACTGTGGTTGGCTCGGGGTTGGCATCAGAGTGAGGCTAAAACACCCTGTTATTTCTGACAGAGACTATGGCAGCGGAGACTTTATAATAGCAAAGCATCCCAGCTGGAGAGGGAAGCAGGGCCTGTGGGTTTTTTATTCTCAGAAGTCTTACTTCCACTTCACAGAAGAAATACAGGCCGTTGGTGGTCGCTCATTCAGCTGGCCAGCCCTCCATGCTCACAAACAAGTTCACACGTGCTCCCACCCTTCTCTCGCCCCTGACATCCTGAGCCCCCTTCTGTGGGGGCTTATCTGCACCCTGTCCTCAACTCAGGGGCCACACCCACCTTCTCCTCAGCAGCCACACAGCATAGGCCTCTCAGCACTCACTTGCTTCTGCAATCAGCACACTGACGCGCTCTTCTCTCTCCCTTGTCCTTGCTTACTCTAACTCTCCTCCTGTCCCTTTCTTTTTCTCAAAATAGTTGTGTTGTGCTACAACTCACCAACCGTACACCCCATTCAGTGGCCTTGTGTATACCTGGAGTTGTGTAACCTTCACCACAGTCAACGATATCTTTCCTGACAGAGCCAAGTAGCTGATGCAAAGGCGCATGGGTGCCCTGCTTCCCTGACACAAAGGCCTCAGGGCACCGCCTCCCGCCTTCCACTGCCACCCTAGGAAGCTCCGATCACTGACGAGCTCTAATTGCCACCCTCTGCTTTCTTTTCTTCAGCAACCCTTGCCTAATATTGGGCATACATTCTATGTTGGACACAATGTTATGTGTATACTGATAGACACTTATATATACAACAAAAGGTCACCCTCACCCATATGCGCTACGAACACTCAAATGCACGTACGTGAACCTGCCCCTGACTACCTCTCCCCAGCCCATCCCCCAGCCTCACCACCTGCTAGATGCCCACGGAGTTGTAATTTACCCTTCCCTTCCCGGTGACACCCCATGTACCAGGCCAAGCGTGTCCCGTCCCTCTGCTACTCCCTCTGAATCCTTTCCAGTCCATCACCACACAGCGTAGTTCTGGCCGTCACATCTCTGGCTTGTCCCTCACCAGTCTGCTTTTATTTGCAGTCATTCTTCTCATTCTTCCTGCAGCATCTGTGCCATCTTTCTAAGTCGCTGATTGGAATCTCCTCTTCTATTTATAGCCATTCAGTCCCTCCATTGCCTACAGAAAAAAGCTAACTCTGGGTGCTAGTCAAGGTCTTCCACACTATCAGCTCTCCAGTCTAATTTCCTACCACAAATAGAACCTTTAAGCCAGATCCCTGGAGCTCTTCCTTGCTTCCAAGAGCAGCATGGAGGCCGGGGCTTACGGACCCTTGGCTCTCTGTGTTGTCTGCCCAGAAAATTTGGTGTTTCCTTTACAATCCAGCTCAAACTTAAGATGTCTGCAGGCAATTTTTCACCCTCTGCTCCCTGGAATTGACTGTCCTTTTCCCCAGGCCCTTGGCGCTCTGAATGCACTTGACCACAGCAGCTCTAGCAGTGTGTGGATTTCTGTTATGTGTCCCCTCCTAGAAGGGAGCCAGGGACCTCACACCATTGGCCTTTGTACCCTCCATGCCCAGTGCTACCAGGCACGGCAGGGGCACTTGCTATGTGTGTTTAGAATGAATTGAAGAACTGAGGGGGGAACCCCATGGCTGAGGGAGCACCCCTGAAGGCCCAGCTTGGCATCCTGACTGTGTGTCTGGGTACCACAGAGGAGAGCCTTTCAGAAACCCCTTGCCAGCGAGACATCCGCAGACTTTAAAATGCCTGTGTTTTCTGTGTCAATTGACAAACCACATGTTAAGATAGAACCAATATGAAAGGAAACTCTACTGTCATGAGGGGCCCTTTTCCTCCACCCACTTTCACCTACATTTAGGGCTGAGCAAGGGGAGTCAGACATTGGTTCTCACTCTCCTGGGGACAGCTGAAGTCCAGTGTTTCATCCTGGGGTGTGGTCTGGTCTTCTCCCCCTACTTTTTGATCTGACTTGTAGAACTGGTGGGGCTCTGTCTCAGGCCTTTTCGCGAGTAAGGCGGCCTTCTCATTGCTTTTCCCCTTTCCCAAGGACTGGTGACATTAGTCCCGCCCAAGCCCGAGTTTCTAGCTGGTGACCAGCTGGTGATCATCGTGGGGATCGTCTGCGCCACCATCCTGCTGCTCCCTGTGCTGATACTGATTGTGAAGAGGACCAACAGGAACTCGAGGTGTGGAGCTATGCCCCTTGGGTTGGGGGGCTGGAGGTACAAGCCTGCCTTTAACCTGAAGTGGAAGAGTGGTTAGGCCCCACCTGCCGTTTTCACAGAAAGGGGTATTTTTTTTAAAAAAGATTTATTTATTTATGCATACAGAACTAGGGTACAGGCCGGAGGTGCAGGGGCAGTAAGAGGCTTCACCAGAGACAGAGTGGGGAGCAGAATAAGCAGATCCACGAAGTACACTGCTGAGGGGAGCAGCAGGCGAGACAGGAGAGGTCTGCCGCACCATGTGGGTCAGCTCCAGAGCTGGGGATCAAACTCGCACTAAGGCTGCTGTGGCTGGCTTGCAGTGCTGCACTTTAACCCACTGCACCATCAGGCAGGGCCGACAGGGGTATTTTAAAAGAACCATCTGTGGCAACAGAGAGGTTGCCTGTTGTCACATTGGACATCCTCTCCATAGTGACACTCCCTCCCCACCCTCCCCCCAGCGCTTTCCTTGCTGTGCTCCTGATGGCTGGGCACATTCCCACAGCATCATTGTTTATTTTGGTATTTCACAAAGATTACAGCTCTTCAGGTTTAAGAAGAGAATAATCAAGAGTATAAATCTTAGGTCAAGCTATAATGAGAGACACAGTTTTTGCTTCGTCCACCTTACACGTTCACATAGAAACTCCAGAGTTTATTTTTCTGAATGGATGCTTTTAGGTTCCAAATTATTGTTGGGATGTGTGTTTAAAGGCTTGGATTTCATCACTAGCTTGCCCGGTATCGCCCAGAGGCTCTGACACCACGCTGGCATTTCACTGCCTGTTTATTCAAGGGCTGATGACATAAAGCTGCTAGGCAGACAGACTTCATGTTGAAATAGGGTCGGTAGGGAGACTGCGAAGGCCAAGCAGCGCTGCCTTTCCAGACTCCTTCCTCATGGAACGTGGATTCTGCAGCAAGTACGAGTGTCTGCTATGCTTTTGCACTCCCCCCAACTGCCTGCCCCTCCTCAGCGTCCCCCTCTGGCCCCCACTCTCTACCCTCTGATTTGGTTTTGGGCTCGGTTGACCTCTCTGGGGGGGTCTTTGCTCTGAACATGCAGACTGCACCGACTGTAGAATTAGACAACCTGCTTCCATACCCGCTCACTTCCCCATCCGGGCCTCCGTTCCTCTCAAAAGGGAGGACAGGATTTCCCTGTGTGCTGGTTTATTCTAGAGAAACAATCAGGTTGATATGTTGAGATTTGTGCACAAACACAATCTCAGTAGCAGTGATTCCAGTAAAAATTCAGCATTACCCTCAGTTTCTGTCAGAAAGGTAATGATTCAGCAGATTAGTATTCCATTCAGAGCAATGGAAAGATGCCCAAGTAGTAGTAGTATGGAACGCATAGTGTAATTTATAGTTATAAAATAGAAAATTACACAGTGCTTACTTCAGTGGCATGCACAGGAAATATGTTTTTGTGGGTATATACTTGTGCTTGCATTGAGAAAGCCTCGAAAGTATAATTCTCAGATGTCAATAGTGGTATTTGGGATAAGGGAAAAAGGTGTACCTTATGTGGCAGGGAGTTTACCGGAACTTCAATTTCCAATTCTCTACAATTCTTTATTATTATACAACGTGAGTGTGTAACTTTATAATCATAAAATACAAAAAAAAATTGTTCTATTTTGAGATAAGAAAATGTGGTTTCTAATTTTAACTCAGACTTATTTTCTAACTTAGGTCAAAATAGAAAAAAAAAGTTTGGTTTCTTCAATGGCAAATACAGAGGGCAAATGGTCAAGAGATCAAAGGAAGGGGCGGGCACCCCAGCTTAGGTGTTTGTGGGGATAACTCTGCCCAGCCTCTTTCCTAGGCCTTTGCTGATGTCTTGCTGAGCTTCTGCTGCCCCCTGCTGGGTCAAGTGCATCTCCCTGGTGCTCAGAAGTGATAAAATCTGAGGATTCCTCTCAATTCATTCACTTAAAATCATTAGAGTGACTAGAGAAGCGAGCTGGGGGTCGGGGGTGTCTCACGCAGGCACTCTTGGATGTGCGGTACTAGCTGGTTCATTCCACACACCTCTCCTTGTAGTTCGCCAACTTTCGTAAAGAGCCTGGAGAATACAAAGAAAGCTCAACAAGAGGTAAGAAAACTCCCTTTTTGCTGCCGAGCCCTTGAGGGTGCAGTAGGTACTGAGCCAGGAGGGGGTGGAGGTTGGGGTGGGGGTGGTGGCCGTCCTTCCCCAGGCCTCACTCACCGTGTATCTCAGCATGTGGCTGAGGCCCAGTCCAGAGCAGGCTCCAGCTGAAATCCTCATTACTGGACTGGGAGCCCCCAGGAGTGCCGGGGCGGGGTGGCGGAGCATTCTGGAGGTGACTGTATTTGGAATCAGAAGGTTTGGGTTCCAGCCAAACTCTGCCACCTTCCTTATCAGAGTAAAATGATAAGGACAACGTGTTTGCTCTGTTGTAAAGTTTAAACAGCCCAATGATATGCTGGTGCTTCTCGCCCTGTGTCAATACCTGGGAGAGCACTGGTGCCTTGGGAGTGAAGGGAAGGAGGGGTTAGCGGTTGAGATTCAATCTTCTCTGAGAAGAAGGGGACCAAGAAGTTTTCCCTCCATATTAATTTGTAACGGGGTTATAAATAAGGGTCTGAGACATGGGTTCACTTCCTTGGAGTCTCTCTTTAAAAAACAACAAAAAAACCAAATGATTAACAGCTCCTCATTCCAGAGTTACCTTCCATCTCTGGGCTCTTTGTGACCCAAGTAGGATTTTGTCACAGCAGAGAGTGGAGGCCTTCCAGAGCCCAGGAATTTGTCACTGGGCTGATGTTGCTTCCTCATATGGTGACAGGAATGGGGCTTGCAAAGCACCTCTGACCCCACAAAGACCCAGGGAGGGCTTTCCCTGCGTAGCAGCAAACTGCTCCCCCCACACCCCCCAAGGAAGGCAATTAGCTGCTGACTTAAAGTGGTGCCTCCAATTAGTAGGAAATCATCACGGGATACAAATTATTTGGCAAGATAAGGATCCCCTTGCTGCGCTCACAACACCCATTTGAACAAAGATGTTTGGCTGTTGAAGCAATGCATTTGCTCTTCGCTGATAAATGAATTTTCTTAAGTTTTCAGAAGACTGGGTTACCATTATTGAGGTCGCTCTCTAGCAGTTAGTGACCCTACCAGTTTTGGTGACTGGTAATGACATAGTAGGTGATGGCTTTTTCTCTTGCCTATAAGATGTGCAGTTTTTTTTTTTTTAAAGATTGATTTATTCATACAGAACTGGGGCACAGGCCAGAGATGCGGAGGGTGAGAGGCTTCACCAGAGACAGAGTGGGGAGCAGAACAGGCAGATCGATGAAGTACACTGCTGAGGGGAGCAGCGGGCGGGCCAGGAGAGGTCTGCCACGCCATGTGGATCTCCTCCGGGGCAGGCGGGGATCTAACTCATGCGGAAGTGGATTTAGCTTCTTAGTGCAGTGCTTTAACCCGCTGCGCCACCAGGGAGGGCCCAGATGTGCAGCTTTTTAGGAACTTTTATGCTGTTTCCCCCTTCCTCTCCCCCTAGAAGCACATTTACTCCTCAGTAAATACACACGCGTTGATCGAGGAAGAAGAACCAAGCGAAAAATCAGAAGCCACATACATGATTATGGTGAGGACGGTTCTGGGCCCAGCTGACAGGTGGGAGAAGGGGCTGGGAACTTCGTACATGGTGACTAGGGCGCCCAGGGATGTCACTGCTGAGGGAAGGGATGTGTGCCAAGTAGATTTTTTTGTAAGTAGTATGGGCATCTGAGAAGCTGAAGCTCTGTTGCGTAGATCACATTTTCCCCCAAGTGTTAAAGGACAGTGGGGCTTAAGATGGTTAATTGTATTGGTAAGCAGAAGCGCTTTCATCGTTAGGTGAAGTATGTCAGCCTCATTAGTGTATCTGGCAAAGAGGGTGCCGGCAGGTTCCGGACAAGGGTTGGGTCGCAGGGATTTTTTCCTTTCTATCAAAAGGTCTCTTCCAACTCTTAGTTTTTTCTTAAATTCTGTGAATTATATGCCTTGACATAACATCACCCCAGGCAGACTGCGTGCCAAATTTCATACAGTAATGGGGAGCCTGAGCCAATATTCTCTTTGTTCAACTCCATGGGGGAACCTAAAAAGGCCAACTGGCATGTAGGAAGTAGGGTCAGGGACAAAGGAGCGAGCTGTAAGGGACACAGTCATTTGTAGATTGGTTACAGGCACCCAGGCCAGGAAAGGTGCAGTGTTTGGCCGGGTTCGGAAAGGCTGGCCGTCTCTGTGGGATGATGGCTTGTGTTTGTTCCTGTCACCCCAGCACGGTGGACACGTGACTCCCAGATGATCACAGCCAGGAAGTGTTCTGAAGCCAGGAAGTGTGAGGCCAGAGACCTGGCCTGGTTCCACTCCACGGAGGACAGTAGCCCCCCTCCCAAGTCGTAGCTGAATAAAGCCATTTCCCCTTGTCCTCCCATGGCTGCCAGGTGACGCTATGGGAATGCCAGGCCTCAGCCTGCCCCTGGGAGACCCGCTGATGCAGCTGCCTGTGTCTCCTACCTGGGGACAGACTTTTGCTGAAAGTCTGTGAGTAGAGGTGACGTAGGTGTGAGTCTCCTTCAAAGCTGCCTTCCCAGCTTCAGTGCTAGTGCTGGGGATTAAAACCCAGTGGAAAACAGTTCTTCTGCCCTCTTGAAACAGACCCAAGAAAGCCAGTGTGATGCGAGGCGGCAGCCAAAAACTCCAAGGGCTTCAGGGACTGCTCAGGTTCATTAAAAACCCACTGTGCCAAATTCAACAAGCAGGCAGGTGAATTCTGGCCTGCTGGCCACTGGTTGGAGACCTAAGGTACAGAGGTGTCAGCTGAGAGGGAGCAGGGGAAATGAGGAACTTTTGATATTTTTGTTGTAGATTTGATTAAATTTACTTCGGTGGTGCCTTTCCGAGGCAGTAGAGGTCAGTGGTTTAAGGTCACAAGATTTGGAATCAGACAGGCCTGGATCCAAATCCTGAGACTTAAAGCTGGGTGATGTAGGACAGGTAACTTAGCCTCTCTGAGCCTCAGTTTCCTCACCTGTAAGGTGGGAATAAATAATGCCTCCCTCCCAGGTGGTGGGAACCTACCAAGATGATGCCTGTGAAACTGAGCATTGGGCCAGACTCATGGAAGCGCTCAGTGGATGCTGTTTTGTTTGAAATTCTCCTCACAAACATCCTTCGTTTCTTTCTTCCCTTCCCTGCAGCACCCAGTTTGGCCTTCTCCAAAATCAGTGTCATATAACCCACCTGAAAAGAAGTCAACTGGAGGGGTGCCCCCAACAGTGTGAGTTTTTTGAAAAGAAAGGCTTCTTCCCTTCATCCTCAGCAGTGGCAGAAACTCTCTCCTCCGTGCGTCCCACCATTTCAGGAACTCCCTACCCCCCAGATGTCCTCCAGCCTGCTCAGAGGGCTGAAGATGGAGGATTCAGAGTCTGGCGAACAACCGAGGTGGCTCTGGAGTGTGGCGATGGACTTGGCCTCTGCAGTGGGGCTCTGGACCTGGGAACTGGCTGACCTGCCGAGGCCTCCTCTGCTATGCCAGCGAGTAGCCCCTGCGCTTGGACAATGATCTTGCTTGAGTTACAGCAGGGGATCATGGAAATCAAACCCAGTCCAAAGCTTCCTTGGGCAAATTACCCCCAAATAAATGTGTTTTGAGGAAATCTTCCTGTTTTTATGCCCTGGCTGAGGGGCAAGTGGAGACTTGGTGAGGAATTCAGTCAGGAACTCTTAGAGGAGTGCTCCTGCTCCCGGGGGAAGCCTGTGTTACTCACATGGGGGACGGGGCTTGGTCCTGGGAATGTGTTTTGAGGGGTGAACAGGTTGGAGGTGGGGTATTGCACAGGGCTAGTTTAGCCAGTACTTCGTAATTCTCACATCACCACTGGCTTTTTTGGCCTTACCACAGGCCCCCTGATCTGGAACCTCCAGGCAGAGCTTGGGCCCCAGTCTCTTTCAAAAATGACAGGTGTGGAATGCCAGAGTGGACAGCCACTTGGACTTGCTTGGTCCGAAATGTGAGGTTTCCACTGTAAGACTTGGTAAGTTAGTCCTAAAAATCCTTTGGCTCTGAACTCCTGTTTCTAGACTGCCTTCAGCTGAGCCCTCTGCTTGACTTCCCTGGGCCTTTCTCATTCTCTGCATCTCATTCTTCCCAGTTAGCCATTCAGGACATGGATAAAGAGGCGGTCTTACTTGATTCTCTGGTTTCTTGTCCAGTCTCAAGTGGGGCCACGTTATATCTGAAGGAACCCCTAGTCCTCCAAACATCAGAAACCTGCTCATTGCACTCTTTTTGTTTCCTTATCTTTTACCAACTGTTCTTGGGTCCTTGCTTGGAGGCCTGTAGGCTCATTTCTTGTTCAGTCATAGAGAAGAGGTAGTAAATATTTCTTTGTTACCTGTTAGCACTAAACAAGGAGTATGTCAACAGTTACAGTTAGTGTATGGAAAGTGACCTATAGGAGACATCCAGAAAGGGAACACATCTTGGCAAGGCAAGTATGAAGGAAGAGCCTTTCATTTCTTATGAATTTATGGAGAGGAAGTGGTTTCAAGTCTGGGCTATTAAGTAACCAACACCCTGCTCCCCCTCTCCACACCCCCAGGCTGAGGGACCTTTTCTCACTTGCTCATATGCTGTCTGTAGAGGACACTGACCTTCAGGATACAGAATTCAGTCGGCGGATGATGATTTTATACCTGGTATTCTGGGTGGAAGAGAAAGGTTCGGTTAGGACATGGAGGCTGGACTGAACAGCTCACCCAGGTGTCTCTGCAGCAGGTGCTTCGGTGGAGGAAGCATGGGTAACTTCCCTAGACTTTTAGGGGATTTGGACTCATCCAAGATTGGCTTCCACTCTGGGCTCAGCATTTGTAACTGAGGAGCAAAAGGAAGCCCACCTCTGACCTCCAGCCCTACCCCCCCCTCCACGTCTGGGCACAGTGTCAGGGTTGAGGATGGAATGCCATGCCTGTCAAATATTAATTTTCCCAGAAACAAACAAATAGGTGGCCGTGAAGAAAACCTGCTTGCTCCCTCACGACCTTTCCCGGGGGTGGCAATCTATTAGATACAGGGGCTGAAAGTCCATGATATAGGGAATAGGCTTCAAGTTCATGCAGGTCTGGTTCAAATCCTAGCTCTGCCTCTTCCTCTCCTCAGTATTGTAAGTCTTAATTCAGCTCTTTGAGGTTGCTTCCCTTCTGTGTTAAATGGGGGTTCATAGGACTTAGAGGACTGAATGAGGCCATTTAGGGACTAGCACTGAGCTGAGTCCTCCAAGCTCCTTCAAATGTGTTTCTCCCAGTTGGATTTATCTTCTGGTGATTCAGTCCCCACCTCTTGTTGACTTTTATTGTTTGGGAAGAAGTCAAAATACCTAAGGCCCTCTCCCTATCAAAGAGAGAGTGCTAGGAAGCTGAGTTTGTTGAAGGACTTTGTAGAGCTCCGAGGGGTGATATTCTGAGGGCCAGGATGGTGCTGGAGACTGTGCAAGTTGGCTCTCCTTACAGTAGATCCTTTAACAAGCAGTTTGGTTATTTGAATTTTCAGTATTTTAAGTTCCTAGAACACCAGATGCTCCACAATTTAAAGGCTTCCAGAAGCATGCAGGCCTTTGCCAACATAAAGCAGCTTAAGGGTGGAGGTGGTGAGGCGACCCATGAATAATGGAGCATTTAGCCAGCAGCATCAGCGTTTGGCTATTGGACTTGGAAACAGTTCAGCCTGTCCACTGGGAACCTGTGGGAAATGGGCCTCCATTAGAAGACCACAGCCTTCTGCTGGCCTTTCAGCTAAACTTTTGTTCCCAGCTGCCGGCCTATCTTTCCCTCCTTATGACTAGTCAGTAGGCTTACATATTTACATCAACAATTTTCTTTTACAAAACACTAGTATTGTGTGTGTGGTTGGGAGGGATCATGAGGCCCTTCAGTGACTCTAGCTACTTAGAACCAAAGAGCCTAAGTTTGCAGATTTGATCTGACACAGACAACTTAGCCTCTTGCTAAGAATAAACAAAGTTTCTCATGACCCTTGACCTGTCCTGGTCAGCTGGCTTGTGGATGTGGTCTGAGCTTCCTCAGGGAGATCAGGTAAACTGCTATCAGTTCTGTAAACCCAACTCTCAAACATCTCTTCTTTATCATAAAATAAGGGAACTAGCAGTCTTTTCAGAAGCTAAGACCTTTCTTATTTCCCAGATGGTGAGAGTAACAGTGATTTAACTGTCCCAGAACTTTCTGCCCGTGTCTGAACACCACATTGGATAATCTACTCATCCACACCTCCCCCTGTTTTTTTCATGACAGGAACCCTCTGTTCCATGTGCCTTTGTCTTTCCTGCTTCCGAGCTTTAGCTCCTGGTGTTCTCCTGTCTGGTATTCTCTTCCCCTCCTTGCCTGTCCAAATCCACATTCCTTCAAGGCCCTGCTTGCGTTCTGCTTGGGTGACCTCTTACTCCTCACATTGCCCTCCACAATTACTAGGTTTGATCTTCTGGTGGTCTCTAATTGTTTTATGGGGCTTGAGTTTTCTCCCAGAGATCTGAAGCTCTTAGAGACACAGCTTTAGGTCTATCCTGTGAGCTCTGCAGCAGCTGAGCCCACGTGGGACACTCCCTTGCTGGATGGAATTCCACAGGAGTGGACAGGACAGCACAGGAACTGTGGACCTGACTCCCAGCTCTGGTTCTGCATGCTGGGCTGCATAAGAGCAAGCTGAAGGAGTATCTGAATGAAACATTCAATCATTCTTATCTGCCCAGGGACCAGGAGAGTCCGAGTGCAAACGATTCCTATCATTAAAGAGCTACAGTTTAGTTGGGGTGCAACCACAAAAAACCACAATACTGTCTGACTCCAATGGACACAGAGACCCAAGAAGTCCCGGGATCTTTGTTCCAGTGCTCCTGTAGCTGGGGTTGTCCTCATCACGCTGTGTTGGGAGTTGAGGGTGAACGGGTTCATCAGGCTTTTACACCATTAGCCTCTATGACCATCACCTGTGGCCTTGATCGTGTTAACGCAGAAGGTGCGTAGGTGTGGGGCAGGAATGCCTGACTGTGGACACCTGGAGCAAGGGTGTGTGCGCATGTGCAAGTGTAGACCCCTGTGCCTAGCAGGGAGGGGATGAGAAGGCGGTGTCCCTTGGGGGAGGGGACTCAAGGTGCTGTCTCCCTGCTGGCTTGTCTCCCCTGCTTGCTATTAAAGATGCTGCCAAGGGCTCAGCGTTCACTTTTAAACTGTTAGAACTGGTCTAGGATGTAGCCCAGTAATCTCCTTTCTAGCGTGTGAGCTCTGACTGGGAGCCGTAGCTCTTCGCTGCTGGGTCTGTAGTTTCTCGCTAGTGTCTGCCACATAGGGGGCATTAGCTATTTGAGTTTGTTGCAAGAAGGAATTGATAAATAAAAGTGAGTGTACCCAGCACAAGAACACAGAGAAGAGGTACGCAGAAGGGAAGAAGTAGACTTTGGAGCTGATTTGTGATGAAAGCCTAGATGCTAGCTGACAGGTGCCAGAGGAAGGGTTTGCTTGGAAGAAGAGACTGACAAATTTTTTGTTTTGCAACCATCCCGGGCTGGGTAGGTTCATCGTTGGTTCTTTCAGATGAAAAGATAATGTTGGAGCCTTTGGTAGATTTTTACAGGCTTTTACAACCAAGGAGACAGACCCGGCCGGGAGACAGCCGCGTGACAGTGGCGTGGCCTGTGTAGCCATCTCCTCGGCCCAGGTGTGCCCATTTCCACAGGTGCATGCCCGTGCTCTGTGCGCCCAGGGGTCTATGGTCAGAGGCATGGGTGCCCCGCGCTCCCACCCCTCGGCTCCCGGCATCCACACAAGTGGTGGAGGGTGTGAAAAAGTCTGATTTTTAACTCAGTTACCCTCCAACTGTAAAGCCCTATGTGGGCTAAGAGAAGCCTCACCCGGTCTGGGGCTTAAGATGGGCGGGAGGCAGAGAAAAGGGTGCGAAGCATCCTGACCTTGCTGTCCAGGAGCTGCCCTGTGCTCTGCAGTCTCCTGAGGTCATTATTTGAATCCTAAATTTGCTCCAGCATACCTATTCCTTCTCCCCAACTACTCACACCTGGTTTCTCACTGCGCCTTGCACACAGGACGCAGACCTCTTAATATTAGTCACAGGACGCAGACCTCTTAATATTAGTCACAGGCAATTCTTTAATGTGTTCAAGAAGGAGCTGGAGATCTTATGAAAAATGTTGGGTTTGAGACTGGAACTGTGGAAGGACCAGCAGCAACCAGGTGAAGATAATGCTTCTCTGGGGCGTGATGCTCTATGCTAACTGTGGAGATTCTCTCTAGTCCCTTGTAGACTTCTAAAGATAAAAATGAAGCTGCTTTTTTCTGATTTTTTTTTTAAATATGCACACAAGAACTGGGGTACAGGCCAGAGGTGCAGGGAGTGAGAGGATTCACCAGAGACACAGTGGGGAGCAGAACAGGCAGGTTGAAATGCGCTGCTCAGGGGAGAGACCAAAGTCTGCCACATCATTTGGGTCACCCCTGGTGGGGAATTGAACTCATCTGCTGTGGCCACAGACAGCTTCCTAGTGTGGCACCTCAACCCATTGTGCCACCAGGGAGGGTCCCTTCTTTCTGATTATTTGTAAAAAAATTTTCCAGCGGTGTAGGTAGGGGAGAGTTGTCTGATAAAATCTTCATTGATAAATGGCACTGGGTAGAAATTCCAAAAACGGGGCTTCACCCCCCAAAAGCCTCTTTGACACAGGTGTCAGCATTCTGCCCAAGCTTCCAGGCTTTTCCTGGCTCCAGAGAAGGCATACTTTTTTTTTTTTTTATAATATAATAGTTTATTTTTACATGATTTTGTGCCTTTTCCCATCTCAGTTGTAATCCCCGTGGGCTTCCCATCACCAAGTCACCCATGTGCCATCACCATTTCCCTCCCTCCACCCCATTTTTGATCCCATTTCCCACTCCACCCTGGTAAAAAGTCTCTGGTATATAGTTGTTTATTATTATTATTATTTTCTCCCCTGGTCCTTTATACTCCTGCTATAAGTGAAACCATCCGGTATTTTTCCTTTTCTTTCTGGCTTATTTCTGGCTTATTTCACGAATCATGATCTGGTAAGTCATACTCTTTTGGAGCAAAGGAGCATCTGGAGATCCAAGCAAGCTGTGGGGGTTCTGGGGAAGCTCTGCCCCTGCCAGAGGCCCTTACTCATGATCTGGCACTTTCTGACCCTTGGTCCTAGAAGGTGGAGTTGGACAAAGGTTATTCTGCTGTACATTATCTCCTGGTTTCTTTTACCCAAATTCTGGGTAGAAACAGGGGAATCATTTCTGTATCCATTTCATGTTTCAAAAGCCTTCAAATAGAAGTTTCTGGACCCAGCTTGAAGCAAAGTGAGCCGAGCAAGCCGCTTCCTTTGGTTTCTGGGCCTCAGAGGCATCTTTAGCTGCATTTTTTAAAAAAGAGGAGGCCGGCTACATCAAACCAAATCTCTCTGGCTGACATGTGCCTGCGGCAGCATGGGAAGCTCTGCTGCAGTCTGGGATGGCACAGGCGGGGCGCTGAGGCCCCAGTCTGGCCAGTCTGCCCCTCTGGGCACACCTGCCAGTGTGAAGGGGCCTGGCGCCTGAGCCCGGTGGAGGTGCAGCCTGACCACGGTCACCAGAGGATTCTCCCTCTTGGGCAGCCCCTTCCTCTCCTCCCTGGATTTCCTTCACCTGGCTGTGTGCTCTCTGGCTGGGCCAGCCGCAGCCAGACCCTAGTGAAGTGACAGAGCACTTTGACGACAGAGTCTGTGTAAGATCCGAGCCTGGGCAACCTCCTCGTGTGTGGGAGAACGACAGAGCTCCACGCCGCCTTTCTGCCTTCAGGGATGACCTCCATGCTCTGGCCGTTGCTCTCTTCCCAGCTAGAGAAGCTTAGCAGCATTTGTTAGATTTCACTGCCTTCATGACAAATGTCCACTTCTCCCTACTCCCTATCCTGGTTTGTTCTTCATTCATTCAACCGTTCGTTCTTTCATTCAGGCAGGCCCTGGAGTTATGCAGCCCCTGCTTGTTGAAGTGTCCACTCTGCACCAAGCACAGTGCTGGCTCCATTAGTTCCTCCATCCCCTCCTCTGGGCACCTTACTTTCTGTGTCTCTGAAGCCCCTTCCTTGGCTGCTTTAGAGTCTCTTAGGTGTGTGAAACAGGGATCCCAGTGTGTCACACTCACTTCAGTTTGAATCCTGTCTCCAGCTCAGCATGTAACTCTCCTAGATCCTAAGAGGCTGTTTCCTCACTTTCATTTTGTTTAAAAGAAGGAAATGAACTTTCCCAGGTTACTGCTCGGTGGGGCTGCAGGTGGCACAGAGCTAACGCTCTCGGGAAGACTCGTTGCTCTCTCTGGTGCAAAAGTGGCCCATTCTAGTCCAGTCTTGACAGTGGTCTGAGGACCTATGCTCTTATTCAGGGGCTTCCCAGAAGAGAGGGGGTGGGGGTCCCTGTCTCTTGTGACATTAACCTATTTGTCTTCCTCTTTCCAAAGAAAAGTAATTCAAAAACAAACAACAGAAAAGAGAACTGTCCCAGGCCACTTTGGGAGCCCAACTAGGGTTTCAACAATTAGCTACAATAGCCAGCTGTTACCTACCTCCTGTAATTTTTAATTTTCTCTCTAGGAATGTTTTACAGCAAATTCCAGTCATGTAATTTCACCTATAAACACTCCATGGTAATAGAGAATTCCACTGATAATTTTATTTTTATCACACTCCAAACAATTAGCTAATATAATCGAATGCCCAGCTATCTTTATCTTTTCTCAATTCTCTTAACATGTCTTTTTACTGTTGAGTTGATAGAATCAGAATTCCCCAGAGATTTCACCTCATCCTGGATTGTAAGGTCTCTTAGATGTTTTGACCAGTTTGCTTTGAAGTGTTCTGTTTTCAATGGAAATGCTGGGGGGATGTGGGGAGACACAAAACAAAGAAGTCATTACTTCCTGAAAGTTTCCTCCACTCACTTCCCTGAACCATTTCCCCATAACACTAAAAACAAGCATTTCCTTTTTCGGGGGTTGTAAATGACAAAAATTGCTTCTGATGACAGCTTTAAAATAAATGGGTTTCTCTGACAGCTTTCAAAACCCAACAAGCATCCCCGTAAAGAGGGAAGTCGGTTTTTGCTTTTGTACCTGCTCGGGAGGGTAAAAATTCCAGGAACTTTGTTCTTTGCAGAAAGACTTTTTCATGCCCTCCCACCTGCTTTTGGAATCCACCAACCACAAAATTTACTCCATCCCCCTTTTCTCTCTCTCTCTCCTTTACACACTCCCTCTCTCTTTTAAGCAGCAACACACGAGCCGGCCATATTAGAGAGATGGAAATAAAGCTTCCTTAATGTTGTATGTGTCTTTGAAGTACACCTGTGCATTTCTTTTTAGCATTTAACCATTTCTCCCTCATAGCCCTCCGCCCCTCAAATCACCCTCTCCCACCCCCCTCCCGACTAACATCTCAGTCTGAAAATGCACAAAGATGCCTGGCTACCTCGCCCTGCCTTCAGTCTCACGGGGCTCAGTCTCTTTTTCTCTTTGGGTAAGTTAGACTGTACCTCTGCATGCTCTGAGGGTCCCGAATACAGAGATGCCTGGAAGTGATGGGGGGAGGGGGCAGGAGGGAGACAGAGCTAAGCTTCCCTCTGGTGTCCTTGGGAAGGGAGGTGCCTGCGGGTCTGGGGGAGACATTGCTGGGGGCTGCATCACTCTGGGACTAGTTGTCACAGAAACGTTGGGTCAGGGGATCTGAGTTTCTTGGGGCTGACAATTATCTAGGGAGGTGATGTCTTTGGAGTCCCCTGAAGTTGACCTACATGGGGGTGGGGGGCAGAGGTAGCTAGATCTATAGACTCTTCATGGATTTTCCTTAAGCTGCTGAAATCTGTGGGGTTCTGGGACTTGATGCTCCCTTAAAGGGCTTTTTCCATAAGCCCCGTTCCTTGGGATCTGGTAGATTTGGGATATTAGGAGAGAGTATATGGGGGAGTTGGGGGAGCAGAAAGTTGAGTCTGGGTCTGGTTCCCTGGAAATCTGTACCCCCGATTTGTTGAAATGTGTGGGGGAAGTAGGTGGGAAGGAGGCTGGAGCAATGATGTCTGGATTGGGAGGGGACCTGGCGAAGCAGGCTGGTAGAGCAGGTACCTCTGGCTTGAGCCATCTGGGGTGGAGGAGGGCCAGGTGAAGAGATGAGGAAAAATAGGAAAACGGAGTCCAAGGGCTAGGCGAGGCCGTGGCCCATGAAGACTGTGTCCCACAGCCACTCAATCCAGCCACGCAGACTGTCTTGTCAAGTGGTCCGGTGTTAAGGTCATAGCTGATCACCTTCCTGGTGGTAGGTGGGCTAGACAGTTATTGCAGGTATGCTTTCTAGAGTTTCATTTTTGTTTCTAAGCCTAGCAATTGCTGGTGTAGTCTGAGGATTGTCTGCGGGAATATTCTCTCGGACGAAGTCTGTCTCTCTCTGTCGTACCACGCTGGGCACTGGGTAGGTGAGCTAAGCAGGCAGCACCCCTGGCAGCCTGCATGGTGAGGCCGCCGAGATCTGCTGAGGTATCAACAACACAGCAGCAGTGTTACAGAAACTTGGGCAGTTGAAAGAGCATGAGACTTGAAATCAGGTCTGGGTGCAAAGCCACCTTTGTCATTTACTTCATGACCATAGAGCTGTGAGGCCCCCTCCAAGCTCAGCTCCTTCGCTGCTGAACCCGGGAATACCTACCTGTTGCCTGGGCCTTTTGTGGGTCTGGCACGCAGTGGGTGCTCCGTCATAGCTGGGCTTTCTGAACACGCTCATGTGTGCTGTGCATCTTGTTTAGACCTTGGGGGAGGCAGATACTGGTATTCTCACGTGACAGAGGACGAGGCAGGCCCAGAGCAGTCATGTAACTTTCCTTATTAGGTCATACAGCGAGTTTGAGGGGAGCTGAGATTTGAACCCCTGTTTGCCATGACCTCTTAGTTGGTTTACTCATTGAGAGACTGAGCTGGATTCTCAATGTCTAAAATATAGTGTTGCTTGTTAACCATAATTGAGTCACAAGTGCCAGCGAAAAGGGGGAGTTGGGTAAAAGGCTGTGTGTACGGATCTGGGGGTGGGTCTGGGGATGGAGCTCCTTTGGGAGTTGGGGTGAAGCACCGGGCAAGGGAGGCAGTCTGGTGAGACCCTGACCCATTCGAGGAGAGGAAAGGGCCTCAGTGAAAAGGACCAGGGTGTGGCTTAGGGGAAACATCCAGGATGAAGCATGGCAGCTGTGGGGTGGTGGCAGGAAGCTAAAGCCTTTCCAGATGGGGGTGGGGTGGGAGGCGGGTACTGGGGAGTCCCAGGAAGAATGCAGGAATGGGGACTTGGACTTGAACTTGACGGGTGCTGTGGGTAAACATGCCCAAGCCAGAGAGCTGACATGGACACTGTGGCTCTGGTGGCTGTAATAGCGCAGGTCCCCAAGATGGAGAGATGCCAGAAGTGACAAGGAGGGACTGGCCAGGGGCTGGGTTTGTGAGATGAGTATAGAGCTGCCCAAGGGGTAGGGGACAAGCTAGCAAGCTCTGGACACACACCAGGAGCATGGAGACCAGTTTGAATCAGAAATAATCCAAACAGTGGGTTGCCCCAGAGTTTTTCTCAAGATTGCTGGCTTTGGCCTGGCCTTTAAGTCTGAGTTCTACTGGCAGAGGCCTAGAAAGTGGAGTCTGGTCCTCGGCCAGGCCACTGCATGGGTCTGCTGCTGGGGTAGGCAGAGGACAGAGGCTTCCCTGCCTTCTGTGGCCGTCTGTTGCATGTCCTGTGTGTGACACACACGGCTTTGGGTCAGGGACACCAAGATGAATAAGCATCAGTTCCCCAGAGCTTCCTGGGGGACACAGACACATCGATAAATAAGAACAATGCCATGTCCTACGTGCAGTGGTAACAACAGGAAGCATGGTGGTAATCACAATGGCCAAGCCCCGAGCTGACAAGCCAGGTGCTGTGAGATTTACAAGCATTTAATCCCCACAACAGCCCTGCAGTGGTCGCCTGCTTTAGAGATGCAGAAACCGAGGTGCCGGGAGGTGGAGTTGTCTGGTCCTGGTCACTGCCATGTGCCTCTGGGCCCTGTGGGTGCCGCGGGCACAGGACTGGGGAGCTGTGCCTGAGCTGAAGCCTTATGAGCTGGGGGCTTCAGGGGCAGAAGGGTGAAGGAGATTCCCATCTGAGGCAGAGATGTGCAAGGGGTGAAAGAAGGTGGCATTTTCTGGAAAAGAAGGAACTCAGGGGGTTACTGGGGTGGAGGCTGCTGGAGGGTGGGAGGGGTCAGCAGAGGAGGCAGGATGAGGACATGAGCTAAGTTGGTCTTGGAGGACAAGAAGCTTGGAAGCTGTGCCCTGGAGCCTGGACTTGGTCTGGGAGGCAACAGGGAGCCAGTGCAGGTTTTGGAGTGAGGAGTGATGAAGAAGGTTGATCTCAAAGCTGCACAGAGGTGGGCTGGCCTGGGAGGGAGATGTTGGGGTGCAGGAAGATTCATACGTAGGCATGCAGGAGATGGAGGCTGCATGTCACACTCACCTGGGAGGCAGGGTTTACCCTGGGAGACAATGTACCCCAGAAAGCTTAGACACAGTCTGTCTACCCTGTTAAAATCAAGAATAAGATAAACCCATGAGTTGTTTTTCATAGGGTTGGAAAGAGGAATAAAAAGAATTAACCCCCAGTCTCTGCAGGTGGTAGTGTTTGGCAGGAAACCAACAAATTTTTGTGCTCCCTGGAAGGGGTCCAGTCAGAACAGTGGAGGACATGGGCCTAGCCCTGAGAACGGCGGGTGCGGGTAGGGGGCCCTAGCAGGGCTGGGACCTAACTCCTAATCTCTGTTGATCATCATTTCCTTTCTGTGAGTTAGAAATCCGAAGACCCATCCTCCTCCGGCCAGCCTGCCCAGAGCTGGGGGATGCCAAGGATAGGGCCTGGCCCCACCCCTGGGTGACCCTGGATGACAGTCATACCCTTACCTGTTTGGGCCTGGGCCCTGGGTCAAATCTAGCCTTGTCATTGACCAGCTGTGAACTTGTTTATTTATTTTGTCTCTTTGTTCTTCATTTCCTTATCAGGAACGTGGAGATGGTAATAAGATTGTGGTATCTGTGGTAAACACAACCCAGCTCTTTGTTGTTGCTGTGAAGTCCTTTGGGCCTAGGTGTGATTTAGCTGCTTGAAGTGACAAAGCCATCAAGGCAGCAGGGTTTTGCTCGTAGCTCTGACTTCATTGTGTTATATGTGTCCCATCTTTAATGAGGGCCTGGGTAGTGAAAGGCCCAGAGCCCTCGAGACTGGGAGTCTGGAAGCCTGGTGAGGTCTCAGGTTGAAGTGGGGGCCCAGGGCTAGAAGTCAGGAACCATGATTCTGGCCCCCGCTTTTTCTGGTCTGTGCGTCTCTCTTGGCCCCCATTTTCCTAGATGGTAAAACCATAGGGCTAGAAGTACAGCTCTCGAGGTCCTCCCCTTCTAGTTTGGCCATGTCTCCCTTCCTGCATTTGGGACTTGTCTTTGACCTCTCTGGCCACTAGAGGGCACGCGTGTCCCTCTGCAGGTCTGCAAAGTAAGGATGCCGCAGAGGGGCCCCGCCTTGCACCTCATCCTGCCATCCAGAAAAGGCCCCTCACTTCCCACAGCTCTGCCCTTCCCCACACCAGGGTTCTGACTGTTCAAGATGGTTGGAGATGCCTGCTGGGGTTGGGTTCAAGTTCTAATAGGCATTGTGCGGTGGGCCTGGGCAGGAGAGAGGCCAGGGTCTGGTGGCTCAGACAGTAACTCCTGTCTGATGTCCCTTCTGGTGGACGTGCTTCTTCTGGTGGGGAAGGGGGCAGGCCTGGGAAGGTACCAGGGCCACACTGCAATACAAGGCAAGCTCAGGGCAAGGCCCTGCCAGGCTCCTTCCCTGCAAGATTTCTCTGCCTCTGCAGAGTGGGGGTGGCACTGGTATTTTCTGTACACCTCCTTGATCTGGTGCTTTGCTTTCATAATGGCCCTGAAAGTGGGGAGATGGGAATTTGGCTTTATTCTTCCTGCAGTCCTTCCCCCCCCCTTCTCCCCCCTTTAGCCTCCCCAGGACAACTCCCCTAATGAGCACTGGAGCACACACCTAGGGTCCTTGCTTTTGCAGGTGGGCCCCATACCTCTCTCTTTCCCTCCAGAGGCCGGGGTCATGTCCTCTGCAGCCAGCATTCGCAGCACCCCCTCTTCCTGGGGGGGTGGGCTGAGTGAAGGCTGCTGGGCCCACTATGCTACCCCAGATCCAGGCTGCAGTGCGGCTGCTTCTGGGGTGGGGCCAAGCAGCAGTTTGAATCATACCAGTTCAAAACGTGAGAGCCTGCAGGGCTCCTCCGCCTGCAGCCCTGGGCTGGGTGGCAGGTCTGGGGGAGTTCCCGGGAGCTGGCCTGAGGGGTCAGACCTCCAGGTGCTTTCTCTTGGACACGCCTCTAGAATCCCTCCCTTTCAGGGGACAGAGTTTGAGGAGGATTTGCATGTCAGAGCTGGCTGAGCACTTGTCTCCAGGCACACTACACACTGGCTTCGCTTGCGTATTTTACCTCATTTAATGATGGGAACCCTCTGGAAGGTAGGTAGGCCTCACCTGTGCCTTGCAGAGGGGACTGAGGCTTAGAGGGCGAAGGAGTTTGCCCACGTCCTCCCAGCTGAAGGAGGTGGCACTGGGCTTGAACCCACCCTAAGGCTCTCGGTCTGTGTTCTTCTACACTGACAGCCACAGGTCTTGGCTGGACAGCCTCCTGGCTGCCCCCTTGCCCAGCTCCCTACTGAGTATAATCTCACTTCAGAAGACAGACCCTCGCTCCATGTTCTGACTGCCAGGCTCTGTGACCTGCTCCCTGCCTGACTCTTGGAGCTGGGCCTCCCCCTTGGCCTCTTAGAGGGGCCCGCTGTGCTCCTGCTTCTCTGGGACTCTGACTCACTGTCTAGGAACCTGCGACCTGCGCCCCTCAGAACTTCTACTGGCTCATGGCCTCACTTTATTCAGGGGTCGCCTAAATGCCGCCTCCTCGGAGCAGTGTTCCTGCCCACCCACCTACAACAGCTTTTACCTTGCTCTGCCGTGATGGGTCACTACTGAAAGTCGCATGGTTCTCTCCCCGTCAGCGTCTCTCCCCCTCCTGAATACAAGCTCCATGCTGCAGGGAGCCCGCCTGCCTCTCTCCAGGCAGTGACCCCCCAGGGCTTAGACTACATGTCTAGGTTGTCGTGGGAGATTTTTGAGTTTTGGGTCAATGATGGGTGAGTGATGCTCTGGGCATCTCTCTTACCCTCTGTAGAGAAAGCTTGTCTTTATGAACTTTCAGCTTTTATGAACTTCTTTCACGCGGCCCCGAGTATTGGCAGACTATCTTAGAATGCAGGTCAGGACAAGCGGGAGGCGAGGGGGTCGGGTGTCCAGGAAACGAGATTTAAGGAGCTGTGTAACCCTGAGAGTGAGGATGGGGGGGGCTTTCAGTTTTGCACCCTAGACTTTGCCCTACCTAGATCTCAGAGTGGGGGTCTTTCCAGCCCCAGCCCGCAGCAATCCTGAGCCTAGACTGGTGCTGCCGGTAGCCTGTGGCCCCCACCTGCCCCTTAGCTGGGGGTGCCGGGACTGTACAGCTAATTGGAGCCTGTGTCTGTGTCTTTCCAGGCCCGCCTCTCCCAAAGGAGCTCGGGTTCCTGTGGGTCCATCGGGTGCTCCCTGCAGTGACGTCTCTTCTTCCGGGCACCTTTTCCCCCTGCCAGGGCTTGTCCCCACGCCTCCCTGCCTGCCAGGGCCTGAGGGGGAATAAGGGTGCTGGGCTGCGCTAGGTGCCTTGCTTGGCTCTGGCCTTGGGGTGTTGGGGTCTCCGTCTGTCCTCAAGGCTGCCCACTCCATGCGCTCTCCGTGCTAGTGGGGAGGACTTTGGCTCAGCAAGATGTCTGGAAGAGGTGGGAGGAGGAAGGGGGAAGCTGAGGCCAGCGCAGTGGAACCCCTCCCCTGAGGCCCTCTTTGAGCAGCTGGCAGCCCCAGGAATGGGGTCCAATGGCCAGAGGTAGGGGCTGCCCCACCGTGGTCCTGGAAAAGGTTCTCGGGGTCTCAGGCTTGGCAGGTGATAAAGTCTTGCTCCATCCTGGCGTTGCTCAACCAGCTTAACATAAGGAGAGGTTCTAAGATGTATATTCCACCGCCCCCCTCCGCCAATCTCAAACACAAGGGACCCAGCCTGCTGCCACAGCTCTGCCCCACCCCAACCTTGGCCCTCCTGGCAGTCAGAGTCCTCACCAGCTTGTGGCTTTGTCCGCAGCGCGGAGCATGGAAGTCACAGTACCGACCAACCTCAACGTCCTCAATGGCTCCGACGCCCGCCTGTCCTGCACCTTCAACTCCTGCTACACAGTGAACCACAAGCAGTTCTCCCTGAACTGGACTTACCAGGAGTGCAGTAACTGCTCCGAGGAGATGGTGAAGCCCGGGATGGGGAAGGCAGGAGGGTGGCTGGGTGGGAGGAGGGGCGCCTCAGTCGGAGCCCGGGTCTCCCTCCACTGGCCGCCACTGGACCCTGGTGGGCTGTCTGTGGCAGGCTTCGGCAGAGGACACATGGAGTCACCCTTAGGTGGCCTGGGGAGGGTGGAGGAGGTTGACCCTTTTGGGGTGTGGCATGCTTGCTTCCACAAAAGAGGGTTTACAGGAGGGGGGAGCATCCTGCTCTCCTTTGGCAGTTTGGCAGCTCTCTGCCCCTGCAGCGCCCCAACCTGTCCCTCGCCCCACCCCCAGTTCTTCCAGTTTCGCCTGAAGATCATCAACCTGAAGCTGGAGAGGTTCCGAGACCGAGTGGAGTTCTCGGGGAACCCCAGCAAGTATGACGTGTCGGTGATGCTGAAAAACGTGCAGCTGGAGGACGAGGGCATCTACAACTGCTACATCATGAACCCGCCCGACCGCAACCGTGGCCATGGCAAGATCAACCTGAAGGTCCTCCTGGAAGGTGAGGGCAGCGTGGGGGCCCCAGAGCTGGCCCCCCTGACCTTTCCTGCCCTGCTCTCCTGGGCTGTATCAGCTCCGGCACCTCTGAAGAGGCTGTGCCCTGGGGCAGCCGCTTGTGCTGGGGTCAGGCATCCATTGAATTCCCTCCAGTCCTTAGGGAACTGGGCAGAGTCCGGACACGTGGAGGGCGTGATCTTGCCTGCAGTAGTAGCACCTTCACGGCCCTGCACTCACTGTGTCTCAGTTACTGGACTAGACTCAGTGAGGACACCTCTCCTCAGCAAGCCCTCCCAAGGGTGCTATTTTATTCTCATTCTGCAAATGATGGAATTGAGGATTACAGTAGTTGCAACTCAAATCTTGGGCCTGTGGGGCTCCAAGTCAGCTCTGCAGGGTCCACCCTCCCCTGGGGGCGTGGGTGGGGTGCTCAAGTCCACTGGAGGGTTGATTTTTCTCTTTGACTGGAGTCCTGTTTTTGGAGGAGAGTGGTCAGTTTGGGCCCCATCGTGTTGGGAGCAGGGGGCAGGGGAGGAGGCCTTCTCTGTGGCACCCCCTCCCGAGCGCTCAGCAGGTCTGTGTCTTTTCCTTCTCCAGAGCCCCCTGAGCGGGATTCCACAGTGGCGGTGATCGTGGGTGCCTCTGTGGGGGGCTTCCTGGCTGTGGTCATCTTGGTGCTGATGGTGGTGAAATGTGTGAGGAGGAAAAAAGAGCAGAAACTGAGCACGGACGACTTGAAGACAGAGGAGGAGGGCAAGACCGACGGAGAGGGTAACGTGGAGGAAGGCACCAAGTAACGGCGGGCGCAGGCCCTGTGCCCGCTCCCTCCACTCCGCCCGCACGGTGTGCCCCTGCCTGCCCTCTCAGTGTGCTTCTCTCGAACCGGGACCCCAGGGCCCACCTGGGCCTCCTAAACCCCTCACTGTGTCCCCCACCCTGCACCAAGAGTGAGCCACCTCTCTTTCATTTGGGAAAACTGTCATGACGTCTGGGATGCGTGGGCCCTGGGGAGGGAGGAGTGGGCTCAAACCTGCCTGAGAGGAGGAGGGTGCCAGAGAGAAGAGAGGAGGGTGGGCAGTGTGGAGGGGGGGCTCCGTGTGCGCTCTGCCCAGCCTTGGGACTTGGCTGGTGGCTGCAGAGAGGACCTGCACTGGGGAGAGGCCTCCCAGCTCCCCCACTGCTCCCACCCTGGGCAGCCCTGTCAGACTGGGGGTGGCGCTGGGTCCTCTAACTTGGGGGCCTGTATTGTCCCTCTCGGCTGCTGCCACAGAGGCCTTGGGCTTTGGGGTGAGGGTCCCAGTGGAAAGGGAGCTGGGTGGATGGTGGTGTTCCAGGTGCTGGTCCTTTCCCACCATAATTACCCGCCGACAGGAAATGAATTTTGAAGTCAGCTGAGGGCGTGAGGGGTTGGGGGTGCAGGGTAGAGTGGCGTGGACGGCACCCCTCCACGGGGCAGCCACGGAGCAGAGGAGCTGGTGAGCAGAGCCAGACAGCCTTGTTCAGGGCCGATCTGGACAGCTCTCCCGCCTCTTGCCCTCACTGGGGGTTCTATGTCGCTTTTAGAGACATCTGGGGAGGGAAGTGGGAAATGTGAGGGGAGCCTTGGGCCTCATTGTCGCGGGGCCAGGGATTCTCTGGAGCCGCATCACCCACCCTGAGCTCCCTCTGTGGGGAAGAAAGTAGGACTTGTGGGGAGCCAACTTTCACTGCCATTTATAATCACATTGAGGAAATTGCTTAAGCCTCTAGACCGGGAGCGAGACAGAGAAAGAAACTGCTGGCTTGGAGAACATTCCTTGGGGAGACCCTCAGAGACCAGCTCACCGAGTCACTCAGGCTGCAGGTGAGGAACAGGCAGTCAAACAGGCAGACGGAACCGAGGGTCTTGCCAGCAACTCTGGCCCCTCAGTCTCCAGTGTGAATCAAGAGCCATAGTTTTCCTGGCTGGAGGGGCCCCGGAGATGGGGGAGGACAAGCGAAGGAAGTGGGCTCATCTCCCAAGCCCCCCAGGCTGCGCTGGGCAGGGATTGGCGCGAAGGGCTGAGGGCAGAGCTGTGGGCAGCGTCCCCTCTCCCCAGCGGCTGGCCCTCTGCAGCACTTTCCCAGCCTCCCCAGGGGCTCAGCCTGCCCTGGCTCAGGGAATCAGTGCCCAGGGCAGGGACGAGTCTGGGGAAAGGGGGTACAGACAGGAACGACAGTCTCAGGGACCATTCTCTGCCTCTGCCCATCAGATGGCCAATTTGGGGAGAGAGCAATAGCAAAGGGGAGCTTCAGTTTAATTCATGTCAACTCAACACCCATTTATTGACCATCTGCCACGTGTCGGGCACTGTGCCAGGGACGCACACAAAGCCATAATAGAGTTGGGAACTGCCAGGACAGCATGGTGGGGACCAAGTTTAAAATGTTGGGTGCATCTATTTCCACCTCAGCAGCCACTGCTTGTGGGGATGGAGTTGAAAGGAAAGAAGGGAGACCGGGTGGGCCCTGGGAAGGGAGGAAGGCAGGAGAGAGGGAAGAGGGAGAGTGGCTGGGCAGAGTGGACGCGAGTGACCAGCCAGATAGATCCTGGGTGGGGTGAGGCCCGCTCATCTGGAAATTCTAACTCAACGGCTCAGTACCTAACTGCCAATCAACACACTGCCAAGGATGCCTGGGCCTGTGGACACTGCCCTGCAGGCCAGCTGCCACGGGGAGACGGGGGTGGCAGGCACCTCACTCCAGCGAGACCAAGGGTTGTCAGACACAACCACATGCAGATTCCACCTCTTCTGGACGCTCCTCTCCTGGAGGGGTAAGGGACAATCTATGCCAATGTGGGAACTTTCTTTTTCCAGGACTCACAGGTAGGGGACTCATTTGCAAGATTCCCTGGGCTTATTCTAACAAGTCCTAAGTCTCCATTAAGAAGCCCAAGACTCCCGGGTTCCTCCCTGCTCTGTGTGGCCTCGCGGGGTCTCAGCAGAGCAGTGCCTCGCTACCAGCAGATAGGGAAAAGCGGGGACCACCTTTGCACAGGGGCCCACCCTCATACGCACTTTCTCCTCTAGCTTCTTAGATGCTTTCCAGAGGCCTCAGAGCCGCTCCCCCAGGGCAAGGAGGTTGGGAACAGCAGGGCTTCTGTGAGTAGAGATGGGGAGCTGTGAGATGTCTCCCGGCAGCCATTTCTCTAGCCTGCTCTGGATACCAGCAAGCTGCCCCTCTTCCGCTTCGGGCTGCATGCCCCTGTCCCTGCGCCCTGCTGAGTTGAGTCTGCCCAGCCCCTCCTGCTCTCCGCAGACGCCCTACCTGTCTCTTCCTCCTAATTCAGGGCCGCTGTAAAGAGAGAAGGGCTGGCTGATCTATGAGATTTCGCTTATAAGAACAAAGCACACATTTTCAGGACTGAATCGCCTTGCGGTGCCTTGGAACTGGCTTTGGAAATAGCTGCCTGCCCTCCCCTGGGGGCTCATCACAGTTACACCCAATTATTACACAAAGGAGAAGTTGACCTGAGCCGTGTTTCTCCCTGCGAGTCTCCTGGGGAGGAGGGCTAGTCAATATTTATGAGGTCAGGGGAAGCATATGGATGATTGAAGCTACTGGCTGGTCCAGAAGGTAGCCCCAGGCCACAGGAGGACTTGGTGTGCTGGAACAGGTGATGGATCAAGAAGTTTCCTTCCTACTAATGTCTTAAGGACAGACAGCTTTTGTCTCTCGCTGTGCCTCTTGCTGTGTCTTCCTTTGCTGAAGCTTGCTGATGCATTTGTACATAGTCTATATATAGGTATAGATATATTATATATATAAATGAAAAGCATCTCACTACACCCACCCCAAAAGTTACATTGTGGCGGGGGGAGGGGGGACAATCATTTCTTAATGCTCTGATTTGATTCCCCAAAGGCAAACGTTGGAATGTTCTCATTGCTCTTTGTGCACTTGGAGGGGGAGACCCGACTACCTTTATGCACTTTCTTGGTGTCACGTTCTACGTGGTGGGGGGAGACGTGGCGGAGAGAAACCTAGTGGACCTCTACGACGCATGGCTGTGCCGTGTCTGCTTTGTGGAGCGGATGAGGTTCTTCTGCCCTATGTGTTATCACTTGGGTTTATTGGCTACAATAAACAGATCGTCTCCCCTGAACATCCCTTGAGTGTGGCTTTTTTCAGGGGTGCAGAGTGGGGGACGCTGAGGCTTTCCAGGATTCTGACAGACCTGAAGGATCCTCTCCTGGTGACCCCATGGACCGTGCCAGACCCCGGTCAAGGATGAGGTAGGGCTAACCTGCTTTGGTGGCGTGCTTCGTTTCTTAGCCCACCCCCTTTGTCTTTCCAGAATCTGGGGGACACTACTCAACTCAGAAGCAGCACCACAGGGTGGCTTAACACCCACTTCTCAGAGGACACCTTTTTAATCTCCCAAAGTTAACTGTTACCTAATGTTGCCTGTTCCTCTGTGGGTGGGTGGGTCACCCTTCCTGCTCTGCTTCTCGGCTGTGTCTGACTGGGCGGACATCTCGTTTGCCTTCTCTGGACTTGGGGAAAATAGATGGCAGCAGGCCGGAGTTTGTCCTGGTACAACGTCACAGATGGGGTGACAGGGGAAAGAGTTAGGGTGCTCTCATACCCCATCTGCATCACCGAGTTCCAAGCTGTGCCATCAGCCTGCCTTCAGGATCAAAGGCCACCCCTTAGCCTAGGAGCTGTCATCTCCCAGACACACTCTGTCCTTTTCTCCTGAAAAAAATCTCAGCTTCCTAAGTGGCAAGGAAATACTGAAGTGTTGGGTTCCTACTTTTCTCTTGAATTTTTTCAGAAGCCATCACTAGTACATTTTAGAACATTCCAGAAAAATCCTGACAGTGGTAGTCGTAGTGCCTACACGGATTACAGCTGCTACCTGAGAGAGAAGCCAGAAAGGAAGTGGCAGCATTAACCAGAGTGGATGGTATTTAACAACGAACGGTCCTTGGTTTAAAGGGAGAGCTGCCTTCCTGAGCCCCTGTCCTTCCAAGGGTGGGATGTCAGGAAAGCTGCTTCTCTGCCCAACTGGTGGGGAAAGTGAGGCAAGGTTGGTGGGCTGAGCTTTAGAAGGCAATGGGATTCCAGCTGCTTCCTTCTGGGGTGGAGGCCAGCCCCTGACACTCAGCCAGGCCCGCAGAATCTTCCTCATTCGAGAACTTTTCTCCCCACACTTTGGAGGACACAAGCTGGACCTGGCTTCTGGAAAAGCTGGATTTGGCTCAGGCAGCTCCCCTAATTAATGTCCTTTGGCCCAGCTTCTTGGGGCCTGCTGGGGTAGTTTTGGTTGCC